ACATGCCATTAGAAAGCCCATCTCTGAAAGGGAGGAGGGGAGGGTGGTCTCAATCTCAGCTAAGAGGCTACTTTAGTCCCCCCCCCCCAACCCCAACATAAGCACATTCACAGATGTCTCTGCGCGCGTAGAGCCGTCTCACCCGTCACGACAGAGCAGCCTGCTCCTGTGTGAAGCAACGAGCCGCGCGTAGACAGAGAGGAACAGAGAGGAGCAGAGAGGGAACCGGGAGAGATACAAAGAGAGGCTGAGTGGAGAAGAGGAGGCAGAGCAAGAGAAAGAAGAGGCGAAGAGCGCATACATCGCTGCCACTCCGACGTCTCCCCTCATGCGCCTGTTTCGGCTGGTGTGAGGAGAGAAGGCAAGGGAGGGAAATAAATCCTGGGAGCCCGTGTCCTCTGTTTGCTTTATATTCCCTTCTCTCTCTCTTTTTTTTTTATCTCCATCATCCGAGGGATGAAGGCGGGTGTCAGCTGGCACGGCAGAATAAAAGAAAGGGATGCTTTGAATGCTGCCTCTCTTTCGACAAGGGGCAAGGAAGAGGAAGTGGGGGACAACACACAACAGGGACAAACACGGGATTTCTAGAATGAATGGGAGTCCTTCTGCCGCATGCGTTTGGGAATAGCAGTCTCACACTGAAGTCTCTGAATGAGGTAAAAAATAATGATACTTTATCTTGCTTTTTATTTTGAGCCTGATTGGCCAACAGGGTCAGATATACATCCCAGAGTAACTTGAAAGCATACACATGAGCTTGACAGAGATGAGCCAATTTCCATGCAGATCAGGTCTGGAACAGCAGTAGGGGAGATTGCCATCTTTGTCCCCGGGTCGCTGTGTACAGCAGCGGAGTGAGGGGAGATCTATGCATGTTGCATGCTGCAGAGAGGCAGTGTGAGCTGGGGTTAGAAAGAAGAGTCACTGTCGGCCTGATGAAAAGAATTGCTGATAATCCTCATGATCAGCACTTGGATGTTGAGATAGCAGAGGGGGCATGGAGAGATTTTCTCTCAACTGACCAGCAAAGCTGCTGCTGCACAAGGTCCAATAGAGTCAGTGAGTTCATTCATCTGATAGATGCAAATTGAATTCTCTCTTTCATAAAATATGAATTCTGACTCCTATGGTGCACATTAAAAATCCAGGGAAAGAAATAAAATGTATGAAGACTAAAAAAGACGCCAGTGGTTGAATGATAACACAAAATGCAGTGTGTGTTTTTCTAAAGCAAAGTCTGACAGAACACTTTCACCAGTGACCCTGGGGAGCCGTACACTACCTTCCAGACAGAAAATAACAAGTTGTCCACAGAAGCGAACAGAAAAGGGGGCATTGGCTTGAGAAAAGGAAAGCTTGAGTCGAAGTTAAGTGGGATGTACGTTCTCATTTCTGACACCTACCTACTGTAGGAAACCCTGGCTCTCGGTGAAAAGATGCAGTGGTAGTGCTTGTTCTCTGGACCAACACAGGTGTGCACTAGCAACTCTGTAAACAAGAAACAACAGTGCTTTGTCTGAATCCATGTTCCACTACTGTCCAATAAACATCATTTCATTTCCTTGTGCATGGCATAACTAATAATGTGCATGTAAAAACATGCTTTAGTAATATCAGTATTGCAGGGTTCAGTGCTTAATTATATGCATTTTGTAGTTAGCAGGGACTCTCAGTAGTCTCAGTGGAAAATCTTGCACAGTGCGGTTACAGTGCCAAAGGTCTGGGCTTCAGTCTGAAGTCCTTACTCATTGAGTCAAGACACATCAACCTGACTCTCCCTGGAAGTTCTGACTGGTCCAGCCACAGCATGCTGACACCCATCATGACATCAGGCATATTAGGCAAATATGCTGTCACTCATACTCATATTTTCACAGTCAAGCCGCTGTGTCTGAGAAAAAGGGCAGAGCCTTTATTGATGCTATAATTTTCTGTGGAATTACTAATATGAAAATAGCATTTAATAGATGCTTATATCCAGTGTGCCATAGAGCTGTGAGCGTGTGTATTTGAGACATTATGTGGGTAAATTAACCCACATCTCTGATCACTGCAGGGCTGTGTACCTATTAAGCCACACTGGGGAATAAAACACAGAAGGGCGATGATTTAACTGTTTGTGAGCCTCAATTTCTAAACTCCTGATCTTTTCCACAGTCTGCATACATGATGGCAGCAACACCTGGTGCCCCTTTCTCAGCCTATACAGTATGCTCACAGTGAAGCCGTGCATGTCCCCAGCTGTTTCTTACACGGGTGTGAGCATGCTTCTATAGTGCTGCACTCTCTGACCATGTGTATATTTAGTTTGTGCTCAGTCGGCAATGTCAGCAAATAGCATCCAGATCTCATTTATGGATGCTTGTCATTTCACTCTGTGTTCATGGTTGCCCCTTCGCCTTGACTGTACAATACACAGAGTGCTGAGGGGACAGAAATACACATACATGATGTGGCTGCAATTCTGTCACGTCCCGTCATGAGTTACAGTATGGAGAAGAATAGATTACAATGTAATAAAAATAATCTATTGGCACTATGTACAAGGCATAGTTACATCATAAAACATACATTGTAATTGATTTCCTTATCAAATATTTTATTAATGCTTTACCGTGTTATAATAATTATAATTCATAAATAACATTTTTTTTAGGTTAAACAGATTTTAAGTCAACAACTGTGATTTCGTTTATATGCTTTATTGGAGTATCTCGCTTTCCAATAGAGCATTCAGTCAATAAGGAAAAGTCATATCTAAATCTTTATTTTCTGGAAGAAGGTCAAAACAAATTGTAACTGCAGTGTGAAGTGGAGCAACCCTTGAGTACTGTAATGAAGCATTTCACTTTTACAAAAAAGCATTGAAATGTGAAGCAATAAATGTTAAGAACTCAGAAACACAAGGACAAAGCAAGACACATCGCCACAGTCTGCCACTTCCTCACAAAAAATATTTAAAAAGTGCACTGTAACAGCATATTATTAAGTCTTCATAAATTATTAATTCTTAGAAACACTATGAGTGAAACTATTCACACTTTACAATACATTTGTACCAAATATGATTTTTTTTCTCATCTAGAATATAAAATAGGGAACATCATCACAACACACATATTATACAGTACACGTTTAGATCATCTTGTAGAAATGCAGGTGTCGCATGTCCACATGTGGAATTCATATGTTCATCACCGATAACTCAGCAGCATTTCACACATCATTGCACAGTGTAATAAATTTGTATGGAGCCCAACAAGACAGAGGGATTACACTTTGCACAAACGTTTTGCAGGCTATTGACAAGGCTGCGGAGGTTTAGAAACAGAGGGCAGTGTGTGGGTGCATGTAAAGCATGTCTACCTACACTTAGAGCTCAGAGATGCAGGTTTTTGAACCCCACTCGACTGGGCAAAATTCATTTATGTTTGATGTCTGTTTAGTGTGTGCTGTAGGTTTCCCTTTGAAGGTAACTGAGCTTCTCTGCAGATTCAGTCATGGAGCTGTCCAGCCTTAGGCAACAGAGGCGCGAAGCAGCAGAATAAAACATTGCCTTTATCCCATACAATAGATATCTATATATCTGAACAACCCACAGTATGAAGTGTAGGTACATATAACTAGAATAGTTCATACACAGCTTTCTCACATCTTGCTACTAAAAAATGTAGGCATTAGACAAACACATTCGAACCTTAAGATCCACTTTGTGCTTTCATTATAATTATTATATGTAACAGAACACCAATCTACTACAGGCATGGGGATTCAGTAGCAGTCTAGGTTGGGAAAACAAGTGCAGTGTTAACTCGGGGGAATATTTTCTTCATGATCATGAATAATAACCACTGTGACTGTTTCCCCGAGTGATACCACAGCAGCCTAATCTTTCTGAGGTTACATCAATAATTTCCCTCCAGTTTGAATATAAGGGTTGCATGTTGACAGCATTTAGGATGTAAGTGTTATATATTATAGTTTAGTTCAATGTGTTACACAATACCTGCTGCAAACATACGCAAAATAGTGGTTTGACATTTTTGTATCTGGAAAAATATCAACGTTATGATTATTACTCATGCACAATCAAGTGTAGTTAGGCTGACTCATATCACATTAAAAGTGTGTAATGCAGGTTGAAAAACTGGCAATAAAAAATAAAGCTCCTGGTTTCGGTTTTACCCATTTTAACTGAGAAATACCACCAAAAGGTCTTCTTGTAAGAAGGGCAACTTACTATAGAGATTTCCTTTTGTAATAGAAAGTAAAGAGAAACTGTGGTTTAAAAAAAGCAAAAATAATCAGCCATTAAAGTGCTATACATTTGTGAAGTTGATAGATATTATCCACCTCTGCCTGCAAAATGAAAAACCATTATTAATTTCAAGATATACATAAATAACTAATAATTGTAACGATGGTGTTTTCTTTTTAAAAATAACATAAGCAGCTCGGGTTAACAGTGACAAAAACTGAAACATAAAATGTATGAAAATATGTGATGGCATTGACTTTGGCCCCTGGCCGTCCCAAAGGCAGGGGCTTAAAATGCACTGGGCACATGCCCTTTTTTAATGAACAGCTTAGAAGCAAAGTTAGAGCAAAATGAAAACTAAGAACAATCTGTTGGGCCTTGCAGCAGTGCTGTTGTACCTCTGTGGATTACACTCCATGGGGCACTTAAAATCTGTCTGGCTGCCCATTAAGACAGCCACTATCCTGGCTCATTAATGTCCTGCAGAGGAATTAGAATAAACTGTGCTCCACAGACTCGCGCTGGCAAAGATCTCTGCCTTCTCTCCAGCAGCTTTTCTCCCTCCAGGGACAGCAGTTGTTTGCCCGAGGTACATCAGAGCAGCTTGGAGTGACCAGCAACACAGAATAATTATATGTTCAATTCTTCCAAACTGCTATAGCTGTTGAATTCATCTTGACTTGTTACAGCAATTTCAGCAAAGGTTGCCATATATAGCCACCGTGTGGGTCATCACCACTCACTTAAATGGGAAATCAGGTTAGAAAACTCAGGATCATAAGAGGAAGATGGGACGCAGTACAAGTCGCAATCAAGTGCGTTAAAATCAAATAAAAGTGTGATTAAAGTTGGATTTTCATCCAATTTTTCCCCACATTGTGCTCTATTCCAGGACATTTTAAGTGAATTTATTCTTCTCCTTTTTCTGCGAGATATGTTTGAATTTGACACTGACCAGTGTACCTTTTATAGTCTTAGTCGAACTGTGGGAGGTACTGTTTTGTGAAAACCTTTACGTTGGAAATCACAATTCATCGCAGTATGATAGTATATCATTCAATGGAAAACCAGGTTAAAAACCAGGGCATGCTCTCAAATTTTTTCATTATATCCAAAGAGCGGAAATCTTTGGGTTTCATTGCTTTTTGTTGTTTTTGTTGATGATTTAATGCTCCTGTTGTTGGATGTAAATAAATCTGACAGTGTCAAGTGAAAGTTAAATATTTATTTATATATTTATCATTGTACTGGTTAGACTAAGTGATCCAAATTGAGTTTTTGAACAGAAATCCGTAACACTGATAGTAAATGCGTCTTTCTGCTAACAGCTTTTGCAGCTGCTGAACAAGTTGGTGTGAGTGTCAATAAAATGAACAGCATCATGGATTTGCCACTAAG